TTCTCCTGTGAGCCGCCCCTCATCGCCCGCCACACACAGCGCCTCTGGGTGCTGGAGGGTCAGCGGGCCACACTGCGGTGCCGGGCCCTCGGGGACCCTGTGCCCACCATGCACTGGGTTGGCCCTGATGACCGGCTGGTCGGCAACTCCTCCCGAACCTGGGCTTTCCCCAACGGGACCCTGGAGATTGGGGTGACGGGCTCTGGGGACGCAGGGGACTACACCTGCATTGCTACCAACCCTGCTGGTGAATCCACAGCCCAGGTAGAACTGCGGGTGCTGGCCTTGCCTCACGGGGGGAATGGCAGTGCGGAGGGGGGCCGCCCCGGGCCCTCGGACATTGCTGCCTCAGCCCGCACTGCTGCGGAGGGCGAGGGGACACTAGAGACTGAGCCAACTGTGCAGGTGACAGAGGTGACGGCCACCTCAGGGTTGGTGAGCTGGGGGCCTGGGCGGCCAGCAGACCCTGTGTGGATGTTCCAAATCCAGTACAACAGCAGCGAGGATGAGACCCTCATCTACCGGTGAGGATGCACCTTGCAGCGCCTCGGCCCTACCCGTCCAGGGCTGGGCCACTCTTGGCTCCTTCTCTGTCCTTGGGGCTTCCACACACCCCTCCTCAGCTTCTGAGCTGCCTGGGGATCTTGAGCTAGGGGGCGGGGAGGGTCAGGTACCAGGAAGAAGAGGTGGGAAATGCTGGGGGGAGGTGGGCAGTGCCCCTCAGGTCTCTCCCATGTGGCTGAGCCACAGGCAGCCTCCAGGTTGGTGTGTGATTAAGCACGCGTCCAGCCCCACACACATGACTTATCTCTGGTGATGTGATTCTCCACCCGTTTTTAGCCTGTGCTGGGCCTGTGTGTCAGGGCACACACCTATCTGTCCCCCTGCACTGCCTCTAGTGCCACACACACACACACGCATATACATGCATGCCTGTCTTGGTTTCTCCATCTTCTCGAGTGAACACACGAGGCCTTTGTGGTCCCAGGAGAAGAGGGTGTTCAGAGCTGGGACCTGGGAACCCAGGGTGGTGGGGATGGGCTGTGATGGGGGCTTCAAGGCCCTGTGGGTGGGGCTGGGGCCTGGACCCCGAGGCCCAGCTCTGACCTCCAGACCTTGCCTGCAGGATCATCCCCGCCTCCAGCCACCACTTCCTGCTGAAGCACCTGATCCCTGGTGCCGACTATGACCTCTGCCTGCTGGCCCTGTCACCTGCCGCTGGGCCTTCTGACCTCACGTCCACCAAGCTGCTGGGCTGTGCCCACTTCTCAACGCTGCCGGCCATGCCCCTGTGCCACGCCCCACAGGCCCACATGCTGGGCGGGACCCTGACTGTGGCCGTGGGGGGTGTCCTTGTGGCTGCCTTACTGGTCTTCACTGTGGCCTTGCTGGTTCGGGGCCGGGGGGCTGGGAATGGCCGCCTCCCCCTGAAGCTCAGCCACGTCCAATCCCAGACCAACGGAGGCCCCAGCCCCACACCGAAGACCCACCCGCCACGGAGCCCCCCACCGCGCCCCCAGCGCAGCTGCTCCCTGGACCTGGGAGACACGGGCGGGTGCTATGGTTATGCCAGGCGCCTAGGTGGGGCCTGGGCCCGACGGAGCCACTCTGTGCACGGGGGACTGTTTGGGGCAGGGTGCCAGGGAATGGGGGGCAGTGCAGAACGGCTGGAAGAGAGCGTGGTGTGATGGGAAGGGAGTCAGCCCGGGGTGGAGGGTGGGGGGCAGGCAGCCACCTGGCCTGGGTGGGTCAGCACTGCCTGGGAGTTCCTCCCTTTTACCCTCGGTACCTCAGGCCCCCTTGTGCTTGGCAGGACGGGGCCCTTTCCCTGGTTCTGGCCCACTGACAGGCATAAGGGGTCAGCCTCTCTGACAGGTGCTCACAGCCACCAAGGCAGGGGCTGCAGCCACCAAGTGGGAGTCTTGTTTTTCTTTATAATAAAATTGTTGGGGACACCTCAGTGCTAGTCTCTAGTGTCATCCTGCTGGAGGGAGAGGGGACATGTGGGCCAGTGGAGGCACAGACAGGACAGGGCTGGGACTGCCAGTCCCATGGAGGTGGCCTACGTGGATCTGGGTGCCCTCAGCCTCCTCTTCCACCTGAGGGCCGAGTGTTCCAGGCTGGTGGCTCTAACGGGTGAGCCCAGGTCTGGCCCCTGGCGCCCTGTGGACTGGACACCTGAGCTCTCTGCTGTGCCTGCAGCTGTAAGCACAGAGCACACCCTTCCTGGCAGACTGTGGACAGGATGTGACGTCCTCATGGTGGCAGGGGTGTTATAGGGCACAGAGTGGCCACAGGAGCAGGTGGGAGATGGCACAGCCCTTTAGGGCACAGGGACTTGGGCTCGCATCATTGCTTACACAGCTCAGTAAGAAAGTCCCTGCGCCTGTGACAATCTTATTCACCATCTCCCAGGGGTTTGTAGCACGTCATCCTAAAGGGACGGGGGCAGGTTTGGAATCTCACTGCCCACAACCCTCTGGAAGGTTCCTGCCAGTGCTGCAGGCCCTGAGCCAGCCCCCAGCTGCTCCACTGACACCCCAGGCTTTGTTCTGGGCTGGGCTGGAGAGACTGAGTCAAACCTCCCTCGGGGACACGGGTGCCCCCTGCCTGCCGGGCCAAGCCCTGCGCTAGCCCCCATGCTGAGGAGCCACAGTCCACCGGAGGCTGCCTTGTTTCGCCTCCTCTGGCCCCAGGCACAGCCCTGCCAGCCATCCGAACAGTCACTGCTCCCGGCGTCAGCTGGGAGGAACAGTGCTCCCAACACAAATACTCTCAGGCACCTGTGCTGCTGCACCCGCGCCAGGCGTACCCAGATGCTTCAAGAAGGTGCAGGTGCCCGGGCTCCACCACAAAAGGCGGGCGCTGGCACCCAGGACCTGCACTGGTGCCTGGGGGTATGTGCCCATTTCTGTGTGAGGCCCATGGTGTTTCTGATGAGCAGCCTGGTAAGAGTTGGCATAATAAGGTGTGTGCACACACGTGTGCAGGCCAAGCTCACACAGTTGTGGGTTGCGCAGTGGTGACACACACGTGCCTGCCCTCCCAGCCCAGACACATACCTGGATGTATCCCGAGAGCGACCCTGGTTTAGGTAAATGAAACAAGGTTCTCAGCAGAGAAGAGAAGGGAGCGTGAGCCCCGCGAGGCCTGGACAGAGACAGGGCGGCGCAGGGCAGTGGAGGCAGGGCCGCGAGTGCAGGGTTGGCAGAGGCTCGAGGTGTGGCAGGAGCCAGTGGCCAGGTCTTGGTGCACATCTGAAGACACTGGTGCCCCCAGGAACCAGAAATCCGTGTCCTGCACTGGCCTCCCGCCTTCTTGTGGCTCTCACGGCCCTGGTCTTCCCGCTCCACCTCCACGGCTCTCAGGTACTGGGTCCTCCAGGCTGAAGGACAGGAGGTCCTACAGCCCAAGCAGGTGAGGGATGGGGTAGCTGGGTCACCCACTGGGGTCACGGGGTGCACTGGCCACCTGGAACCGGAGGCAGCCCCAGGACATGCCCTCGGTGAGAAAGTGGGCACACGATGTCATGAAACGGCCCCTTGACCCCGAACCCTGAGGCACCTCACGGAAAAGCGCAGAGCCCCCCCTGGCACCTGGGGAACCTGCTTCCTGTCAGCTGAGGAGACGCCAGGCACAGACTCGCCGCCCCCTTCCCCGCCACGTGCTTTCCCCGAAGGTGAGAAGTGACGCAGGGCTGCGAGGACAGCACCGCCCACACACCGACCCCACCTGGACCACAGGGAGGGCTGGGAGCAGCTGAGGAGACGCGAAGCGGAGGGCCCAGCCAGCACCCAGCACCCCTGCTCCCCTCGTGCGCAGCAGGCAGGGCGGGCGCCCTCTGCTATGAGTGACCATCCTTGGAGCCCCCAGAAGAGGGTGAGTGGAGCTGTCTGGGCGCCCCTCACAGTGAGACCAGGCGATGAGATCTGCTCGGGCAGAGCCTTGTCCTGGTGGCAGTGTCTGACCTCAGGACAGCACATGGCTGTCACTTCATCTCTAGCTACAGACTCCGGTAACGGATCCGACCAACAGCCCAACAGGCATTTCGGGCCCTTGCCTGGCTACCCATGGTGAGCCGCCTCAGCACAGCCCCCGGCCGCCTCCTGCCCTGTGCTCACACCTCCGGCTGCAGCCTCCCTTCTTGGCTGTCCCTGAGGCACCCAACGCCGCTCAAAACACAGGCTCCGAGGTCCCTACCCAAACTTGTGGGATCAGGATTTCCAGAAGGGAGGCCAGGGAGAATGCGGACTCACACACGCGCCAGGTGATCTCACCCAGGAGGGGCAGGAGATGTGTGGGGTCCACAGAGCAAGGCCGACTCCTGACTCCCAGGGACGCTGAGGGGCCGGCAGCAGCAGTGACCAAGCGCAGCCAGGAGCGTCCACATGCAGGACAGAAGGGGCGGAGATGGATGGGAACGAGCGGAGGGAGACAGGGCCTGCAGCCTCTCACCTTCACGCCTCGGACTCGGAACTCAGCCAGGGCTCTGCTCATCTTGGTGGCGGCTGTGAGGTGGTCTTTGGCGTGGGCGATGACCTTGACCAGCAGGGAGTCGTAGTGGGGGGAGATGACAGCTCCCTGGAAGGCGGAAGCATTATCCAGGCGAATGCCCATGCCCTCTCCACTCCGGAACACCTGTGGGGAGGGAAGGGTGGGCTCAGGAACTGGGTCAGAAGCCAGAGTCAGGAGGCAGCCTCAGCCCCAGGATGCACGAGGGATCCCAGCTCTGGCTTGCGAAGTTCTGCTTCATTTCTGCCGGTGCCCAGAGGGAAGCAGGGGAGAGAGCACAGGGTCAGAGGCAGACCTGGGGACACAGACACGGGCTCCAAACACAGCCTAATGGATAGGGGACCACAGGGTGGGGGACAGAGGTTTGGGGTGTCTGGAGTAACTGCAGCACACACATGAAGTCCACGATGGGGGTGGGGCACCCTGTGAGGCACACGCAGGAAGACGAGGGGGGGGAGCCCCGCTGCACCCACTGCACCATGCTGCCACTTCTAAGGGACAGGGGCCTGTGTTTGATAAAAAGGAACCTAATAAAATATTTAAAGGTGAACACTCAGCTGTGAGCAGGAACTGGGAGCTAAAAATATTCTGTGGTAAACCAGGCTCGGAGGAGCCAGGCCTGGGAAGGGGAGGTGGAGGAAGGCAGCGTCCAGGGCAGGGCTGCCCTTTCCTGGCCGAGGGCAGAGCAGTCTGGACCGCGCTCTGGCCTTGAGCCTACCAATTCTATGCAACTTTCAGAATCCAGACAGCGCCCTGCCCTGCCACTTGCCTTCAGAAGCCCCGTATCTCAGACTCGCCCCCCACCCCACTCCCTGCACCCAGAGCAGAGTCTGAGCTCCTGCCCTGCCGGGAGGCGCAGGCCAGATGGGGCGCCATACAGCAGCAGAGCCAGCGACATGCGCTGGCACCAGGATCCAGAGGTCTTCGTAGCCAGCATGGGCAGGGACGGGACAGGCACCAAGCCGGCCAGAGGGCTCCTGCCCTCAGCCAGGGAAGGGAGGCCAGCAGGGGAGGGGTGAGAGACGGCTTTCTATGTGAGGAGAAAGAGAAGGTGCAGGAAGTATCCCTGGAGGAGGCACAGGTCCAGATGTGGGGTGGCTCCTCAACCTCCCACCATGAGCCTGCCTCTCGGCCTCCTCCCTGCCGTCCACCACTTCCCCAACTCTCTCATTTATCCTTGATGGTCCCCTTGCTCAGCCTGGCCCCTCCACTGGGACTTCAGGGCCCCAATCCTTCACTGCACCCCGAGTGTTGTCTTGCCAGCCACACCCCTCTGAAGGCAGGACAGTGGCCAGCAGCACCGTCCTGTCTTTGGGCTCTTAGAACAGAGTCCAGGACCTGGGCCTCCTTTCTGGGGACCCCGCCTTTGGCTCCACCAGCTGCTCTGCTCCCTGTTCTGATGATCTGCCCACTGGCTCACCAGCCTGTGTACGTGGCAGCCCCTCCCCAGGGTGCTGCTCCCTTCCTCTGACCGGGCCTGGCTTCCATGTACTCAGCCAGATTCAGACCAGCCCAAGAGCGGGTCCTCCCTCACTTCGTGCCCCTCAGAAGCAGTCTGGCCCGAGAGTCCTCACACAGGCAGAGACCCGCGCTGCTCAGCTGGAACGTCAGAATGTGGACGCTACCTCGATGCGGCCGGTGTCTGGCTGGAAGCTGCGGGCGGGGTCCTCGGTGGTGACCCGGCACTGAATGGCACAGCCGTTGATGCGGATGTTCTCCTGCCGCAGACCCAGGTCGGGCAGACTCCGGCCCTCGGTCACGTGGATCTGGGCGTGGACCAGGTCCACACTGCAGGGAAGGGACGCAGAACCAAGAGGAGAACATGAGGCAGGGGATGGACAAGGCGGCGGTCCATACACAGACGCAGCACACCCAGCTCCTGCAGACTCTTCACCAGCCTGAGCAGCGGCTCCTCCCGCCTGCCCAGCGCCCCTGCCCTGTGCCCGGTTACTCTGCACATTCTGAATAAGGAGAACAGGCAGCTGGAGGGGCAGCTGAACTCTGCATCCACCTGTTCTTGCACCCCCCCCCCCAAACTGTCCCTCCCCGTGTACTGCCCTCTTTCTCCCTGGGTCTCTCGGTCCTCCTGCTGCCCCCAAACTCCCCCTTGGTCAAGCCTGGATTTGAAGCCTCAGACACCCTGCTCTTGGAGTGCTGTGTGTGGGTGTGCTGGGGGGCAGCTGTGAGAGAATGGGGTCGAGGAGGCCGGGCTCCTTGAAATGGGACCACAGCTGCAAGAGGGTCCACACGGGTGGGCGCTGTGGTCGGGACGCCGTCCTCCGCCCCTGATCTGAGAGCACAGAGCTCTCCGAGCGCAGGGATGAGCTCGCCTCACTGACTGCTATGCGGAGCACAGCAAGGAGTCCACGGGGAACAGTTTAAAACCTCGGTGTTTACATTGTCCCTGAGGCTGCGGTGAGGACAGCCTGGGAACTACCCTGGCAGATG